CTTCCTCCTCCTCCCCCCCTCCTCTCCTGACTTCCCTCTTTCCTTCATCTCACTTTCTCATTCACCTCACCCGTCCTACGGACGAATCCGTTTCCTCGTTGCCATGTTGTTATCATTGCGTTTCCGCTGCCCCTCCTTTGCTTAGCATTCTTCCTCCTCTTGCTCATGATGTCTGTCAACCCCTCCCGTTGGCACCCGCGCGCATCTCACTTCCCTCGTTGCTCTATCGTTACACTCCTCTCTCCAGGACAGCAAGCGCATTAAACAGCGAACGCGCTTTAGCCACGACGATTTTGCGTTTGGGGCGGAAGGGGGTACATAACTCATGTTGCCAAGACCCTGGGGGGGGGGGGGGGTCGCGTGTGTCGGCCCAAAGGCACTGTGGCACGGTGAATTGGGATGACCGCTGGCCTCAACGGCACCTCCCCAGGTTCCAGGGACAGAGGTGAGCCGCTCGGGCCCTTCGGCGACACGGAGGCCGACGTGAGTCGGGCCTCTCGGCTTGGATGCAGAAGTGAGCCGTTCGGGCCCATCGGCTTGTTTGCAGCAGAAATGACCAACTGAGGCCCGCTCAGATGGAAAGCGCAGGTGAATGGTTCGCCCCACCCCTCCCCCGCCCCTCGCTGCTCAGACGACTGCTGACCAGACGAGTGCTGCTCAGATGAGTGCTGCGTGGGGCAACACTCAGTGATGCGGTCGGCCCCCTCGGCCTCGGCTGGGAAGCAAATGAATCGTTCGGGCCCCCCCTGGGATGGGAGGCAGAGGTGCTTCGTTCACTTCGATCGGGCTTCTCGTCTGGGAGGCAGATGCGAGTTGTTCGGGGCAGCGTGAGTCGTTCGGGCCCCGTCGGTTGGGGGGGGGAGGTGATTCGGAAAAGGCCGCGAAGCGCGCGGGGGCTGCGCCCAGCAAAGTTTGGGCGACGAGTTTTGGAATTAGCCGCGGTGCCCCGCTGCGGGCTGAAAACGAGGACCCAACATGCAAGAACGACAAGAATAACGCACGCACACGGGGGGCTTGCCGTGCGGGCCGTCATCCGAGCGGGCCCCAAGGCGCGTTTGCCCCCCCCCCCCCCCCCCCCCCCCCCCCCCCCCCCCCAACGGCACCAGGATGGGTCCCGCGCGATGCAGCGCCAGAGTCTGAGCACGACAGTGACGGCGGCGATGGGAAGGAGCGTGCGATCGACGACGGCCCCGACGAACACGAGGAGTCGCCGAACGCCAGCGATGACTCCGATGCGGCCGAGCCTCCAGCACCAGCGCCAGGGCTCCCAGCGGCTGGGCTGCGGGCGCACGGCAAAGCCCCGTCGAACCGATCCATCTGCGCCTTCTGCCACCGATGCATCAGGCTCGGCACGTGGCGGTTGACGTACCGTTTCAAGCCATCAAGCTCGTTGCGGGACGAGCGCTACGTCCATTATGATTGCGCGCGCAGGGCGCCAGCAGCAACTAGGGAACAAGGACATCCTGACAGTCAGGGGGTGGCTTGGTGAGCCAGCTGCACCAGATGCGCCATTGGCGGCTGTTCTAGATTTTCTATCCCAGCACGACGCCAAACAAGCACGCCCTGGCCACGCTGGCCAGCCAAACGTCAGTTTCGAAGGGTCGGCTATTTTTTTCGGTTGGGGCGCGGCGCCGCCCCGAAGGGTCGCCTTAAACCCCGGAAAATCTCTCAATGAAAGTTATTCTGGCTTTTTCTGGACTTGTTCTGAGTTGTTCTGAACTTGTTTTGGTTTTGTCTGAGTTGTTCTGACTTTGTTCTGAATTTGTTATGAGGTGGACTTTCCTCGTGCCCGCGCAGGGAAAGTCGGCCCTCGGAGTTTGTTCTGAGTTTTTTTTGTTCTTCTGAATTTGTTCTGAATTTGATCTGAGTTATTCTGAATTTGTTCTGAGTTATTCTGAATTTGTTCTGACTCATTCTGAGTTTGTTCCGGGGGCCCTTTCGGCCAGGGCGCGTTCGTTTGAGCGTCGTTTAGCCCCCCTTTTGATCCTTTCGCCCGCGGGCGCCGCCAGCTGAGCCAGCTGCGGCCTGGAGAGGGATTCGGGGTGGATCGTGTGGCTCGCGCCTGCGTTTTGCTCGGGCCCATTGAATGAAGGCGCCAGTGCGGGAGTCCATTGGGGCCGCGCAGCCGAGGCGATCGTGAGAAAACACGCAGGGGGAATTACCCAATACATAGCCGCAGCGCGCGCCTTTGACTTGCCTCCCCGTGGTTCAACCCTTGCGGGGGGGGGGCGCGCATGCGAATGTCATGGGACATATGTTTTCGGCATAATGCAATGTATACTTTCCTCCTTACGTGTGATCGCTTACGAAGTGACTCCCAAAGACGTGATATTGCATGCGAAAAAAAAACACATGCACTATACCACAATGCCACCTCTGCCCTCCCCTAGCCCGCCTCCTCGGGCAGCTCGGGCGCTCTCGGAACACTGCGCATCCGTGGGCCTTTGGAAGGGCGATGGGGGGGGAGAGGAAGGGAGGGGTTTGGAGGGCCCCCTGGTGATCTTCGGGAGAGGTGTTTCGCCTTTGTTCCAAGTGTCCTGGAGGCAGACTAAGAGCACGTGGCGGCCGATGGGCAGAATCCTTTTCTGCTGCTCGCTTGGCCCTGGTCATTGCTGGCACCCCCGCGCCATTGGCATCGTCGTCGACGTCGTTGCTCCCTTCCACCTCCCCCCCGCTCGCTCCCCACCCTCCACTTGCCTTCCCTTCCCCCCTGACCACCGTCGTCTGGGTCGCCCCGCCCAAGCCCTCGTTGCCCTGCCCGCCACTCCTCCTTCATCCCTTATTATTTTTCTCATCCCGCCCTCGGCCCTAGCTGGCCGAACGATGCCGCCCTACTCCAGACCGTTTTGGCTTAATGACTTTCCTCTCAGCGCGTGCGGGCCGCAGTTGAAACCCAAACCACTCCCTTTTCCGCCTTTCCTTCCTTTTCCGTTTCACCCCCCCATATCCTCCCTGGCCCCGCCCCTCTCCCCCCTGGCGGCAACTGCGCCGCCAAAACGTTGGGATCGATGAGCAGCGTTGTGTCCGCAGGGGCCGTTGGAGGCCGTTTGTGCTTCGACCCAGTTGTAATCCACGTATCCAGCGACGCGCCACCTAACTTGGACTTCCCATCCTCCAGGGCGTTGTCGCCCCACCGTCGTCGCCGTCTTGCCACTGCCGTTCAGGTTCCGGATCAGCAGCAGCATCATCGATTGCGACTAGTCGCGTGCGAACCGCCACAGATGGTGCGCGTTCCAGTTACACAGCCTGCGATGCGCAGGAAAATCCTGATTCTTGCCAAGAAGCTCAGGGTCGCCAACACTCACATCTACTGGCTCAGGAAGCGCTCCAAAATGTTGTACACCACAGTCCGCCGCGCCACTCAGGAACTTAGCAAGGCGACTGAGAGTGCCGACCAGATGATGAGTTTGGAGACGGCTGAGCGCGCTCAGGCGCACAGCACGACGGAGCGGGATGAAGCACAAGCCTCGGGATCGGACTGAGTCTGACTGGCAGTGGGTTGTGGTGCCACGCGCGAGCGAGAGGCTCGCGAGGGCGGTGCCCTCTTTTCCCGCCTTCTGCCCGTTCCTGTTTCCTCGCCGCCCCGCCCTCGTGCCCCCCCCCCCCCCCCCCCCCCCCCCCCCCCCGTCTTCAAAAGACTTTCTCCCTTTCTTGCCCCCTCTACTCTATCGGAGCAATGCCTGCATGTTGGCATGCCTGCGCGAGCTCGACGCTCTAGGCTCTAGTGAGATTCTCGATCAGACGGCGGCGGTTATACCGCACGCGCGCGGCGCCCTTTCGACAGGGCCTTGCTGGAACAGAAAGAAACATCGTCATCTGTCCGCCTCCGACCCCTCGTATCAGCCCCCCCCTCTCCTCCCTCCCCGCCGTCCCTCCTCCTCCCGCCCTCCTCTGGCTTTCCTCCTCCGCCCTCCTCCCTCCTTCGTCCTCCGCCCTCCCCCTCCTCCTTTCCTTTTAGATAATCCCCCCCGTCCTCGCTCCCCCCGTCGCGCGCGGAGGTTATTGCCGCAGGGCGGGTCGGGTGTTTCGCGTGAGACATCGTCGCGAAGTAGCTTCGCAACGCTCCATTGCGTTTTGTTCGCCCTTGCTCCCATGGGCCCCCTCTCGGGCCCCATCTCATCTAGGAGCCCTCTACGGAACGTATTGGGCCCATTCCGAACACCCAAATTATCAATGCTGATTGTTTGCCCATCCCATCCCTCGGGGGCCTCTCGCAATCCTCGGGCCCCTTCTGGGGCTCTCTTGGGCCCCGCGGGGGAGGGGGGCTGCGATGAAAACGAATGTCGCAGGTGTTGCGCCTGCCCTCTGCGGGCGCGGGCCAACGTGGGCTGGCGTGGATTCGTAGCCGTTTTGGCTCGAGCTTCGCATGTTTAGTAAAGGCCAGCGCCTTCATCTTGCGCCCTGGTGCCGCGCCAGCTGCGCTGGGGTTGCGCGGCCGCAGCTGCGCCGCGACGCACCTCCCAGATCAGAGATCAGATGGCGCCGAACATCGTGAAGGCCCAGAAGACGAAGCGCGTGCTTGGGGTGAACGACTTGCCACTCGTGCCCGCCCACACGCGCTTTCTCTGCGACCGGAGCACTCATTCACCTGATCGGCAGGTCCAACGTCCAGATCCCCCCGAGAAGCTTCTTGATTGGAGGGCCGAGGGGGCCCGCATAAGTCCCCCAACAAGGAGGGGAACGATCGAGGATGATGAGGGCGAGGAGGGGGGGGCGGAATAGGGAGAATGGAGATGGGAGGAGGAGAGGGCGGAACAGGGGAGGGCGGAGGAGGAGGAGGGCAGGGCGGAGGAGGGGGGGGCGGAGGAGGGGAGGGCGGAGGTGGAGGACGAGGGGGGCGACGAGGGCGGGCGCGGCATCCCCCCCGCAAGAGACTCAACACCACGTCCGCGAATATCCCCAATAATTGCCGCGGCTTCCCTCATGGCTCCGAGTGCTACGGGTGCATGCGCACGAGGATCAAGTACTTCTGCTGATCGCTGGATGACCTTAAGGCCAAGATGGGAGCAGACGAATCGGGCGACCTGAATCTCAAGTTCTTGGAAAAGAGGGGCTCTCTTGTCACTGGCGTGAAGAAGCGCGCTAGGGTGGGGGGCTACATCGACTGCGACACCTTCGTGAAGGAATCGCGGACACAGAAGGACATAGAATGGCAGGAGGGCCAGTTGATTGAACTCTGGGCCTTTGTAAAAGACGAGGAGCTGTGTTTCGCCAAGAACAAGGAGAATGAGGATCTTGTCACATCGTACATCAAGGAGAATTACCACTACACGGTGAGGCTCAACAAGAAGAAGGTCATGCGCGTTGACGTGCCAGCCACCAGCGACGACCGCTCCTACTATAAGAGAGAGGTCTGCGACGAGAAGGGCGTGGAGCACGTCACGAAGCATGGCGAGAAGCGGGCCGCTGATGATCACGTCGACATGCTGCTCCTCGAACAGGAACATGCAGATGCCGTTGTTCGCGGTAGCGGGGCCCCGCGCCGCACGCGCTCGAAGTGTGCGCCGCAGGCTCGCGGCCCTGGGAGCGCAGCCACCGTGCTGAGCTCGGCGGCGACCAGCAGCGACTTTGGACCAGCAGCACCGTCGGCCCCGCGCATCGGGGCCCTGACTTCTCGGCGTTCCATATCGGCACCCCCCCGACTCCGAGGAGGACGAGGGCGGTTCCGGAGCAGCCAGCGCAGCGGGGGACTTCGAAGAGGCCTCCACGTCCGTCGTCAACGTGAAGCCCCCGATGAAAGGCAACCTGAAGAACCAGCGAGGCGGTCCCGCGGCGAGTCGAAAGAGTAGAAGGGTGAAGGGCCAGAGGGACCAGGCGACAATTGATGACTGCAAGGAGTTGAGAGACAAAACTAAAGAGAAGTACACATTTGAGCACCAGTGGAAGGCGCAGGCGAAGTTCGGCTACAGAGAGCTCCATGGTTTGGTTGGCAAGCTGCACCGCGCTGCCAGGAAGTGCGGTGCGATCGACGCTGGTCCGTGCAAGGAGGCTGCGCTCGAGGTCAGCACCGAGTTGTTCGACCTCGCCCAGGAGGTTGAGATGGCGAGCGACGTGGTCAAGAACTTGAGGACTTCATTCTTAACGTATGCGTCAGAACCGTTACCACAGGGACACAGCGACGTGCTTCGTGGATGCCCCAACCAACTGCCCTCGCAGATCCTGACCTCAGGCACGAACGCGGTGATAAACAGCATCAGCAAGGACGTGAACAACCTTCAAATTGCCTTGGGCCTGATGGCCTGCTATGGTACGTTCTCGACGCTGAGCCTGAGCTTCCTGGGCGCTGAGAGCGCATTGGCGTCGCAGCGAAGCCTCGCGTTCAGCCTTGTTGACAAAGTATGGTGCATGAACAAGCTCGATGATATCATTCAAACTGGGGGCGCGCTTCGCAGGCATCTACCGACATGGGCATCCGTGCACACGCTGATCGGCACGGACTCCACTGACGGCTTCTACACGCAGCCTGCGCTGGACCTCCACTGTTTGTCGGTCTGCTGCTCCGCGCTCAAGTGGGCCACGGCCGAAGGTACCCGTGTTGAGGACAGGGAGCTCCGCATGCAATGCGCCGCCTTGTTCCACGAGCAGGGCCGCCTGAGCGCGCGCACGAAGACCCACTTCAGAGCACTTTGCGGCGATGCCACCTCGCATGGGAAGACGGCCTGGGACGCCGTGAAGACGTTCCACGACGAGTACACCACGATGGGCAGTATTGCGAGGAGAACGACAAGAAGCTCGATGAGGTCGCGCGCTTCGTCGAGCAGCTCCAGGTCGATGACTTCATTGACCAGGTCAATGTGATCATCGGTCACTTCGCTGAGGGCGACTTCCACATCACGTGCAAGGATGTCGGCATTGCCTGGGGCGGCACGCAGTCCGACAGGCAGGAGCTCGTGGAAACGGGGGTTGCAATAGTGAGGCCCAGAGGTCGGGTCTTGGATCCCTCCTGGAGATATTCTTGTGGGCTTCGGAGGGTCGTTCGAGGCGTCGTTGCAGGCTGCGCTGCGCTTCCCAACTCCACGGGGGGGGGGTGCGCGTGCCATCCCCGAGGCCCGCAATTGCAACGCTCGTTTATATATATATATATATATATATATATATATATAGCCCAGGGAGTGCATATCGCGGCTACAAGTTGGCCCAGGAGATTGCAGATCGGAACTGGGGGGAGGCTGTGGGGGGACGGGGGATGAGGGGGGCATGCGCCCTCCCTGGACGTTAGTTTCTGACTTTCCTGACCCTCTCTTCCCCTCCATCTCCTCTTCATCCTGCTTCCCCCCCCCCGTCCTCAAGCTTATTGTCCACCTCCTCCCCTGGGGAGGGCGCGCGCGCCTGTCCTGACGTCCGTTCCTCTCAGGACGTGGTCAAGACGCTCTACGCGATTGCCGAGAAGATCTTGACCACGGAGCTGCATTGCCCCACCTACCTCGGACAAGTTCATCGTTCCAGTGGCTACCAATATGATGATGAGCCTGAGCGGTGCGTGGTACTGTTTGTGGTATTGAGCTTTATCATTGACACGTTGACGCACTTCGACATGTCGGATTACTCTGTCCATCACAACAGCCTCATCCTTGAGGTCTCCATCCGCACCCAAGCGAGCATCGAGCTGCAGAACATGAAGCGCGTGTACGGCCGCAGCACAGAGACTACGTTCGACGAGGCGTTCGTGAATGAGTTGCACGCGGTGTGGACCTTGTTCTTGGAGGCGGGCTCGCATAAGCACACCTGCTCCGAGGATTCCGTCGTCGTCACCTTCTGCGGGCGTCTGAGGCAGGGGCAGAGCACCATCAGCTCGGACATATACCAGATGCTCGTCGACATGCTTTCCGTCGGCCCCCCGTTCACCGCCGTGGCTTTCGCGCGCTTGCAGGACGCCCAGGAGCTCTTCCCCGACAAGTGCAAAGACCTGATTCGGAGCCTCCCTGTGATAGAGCGGTGCCGCGACGTGCACGGCCTCAGGGAGCAGGGGAAAGCTGGCGGCGCTCTCTGCGCGCTCGCCAAGCTGTGCGACGAGGTTCGCGTGGTCCATGCAAAATGTCCAGAGGCGGCTGCAGCGCGGGATGACAGCGTAGACTGGATTGCTGCCGGCGACGCAGAATTCGAGGAAGCCCTGAACAGCCTCTGCCAGAAGATGAATGTCAGCAAGACAATGTCCGACTTCGAGAAGCACTATGCCGTCGCGGTCACGGCCATCGAGGCGTGGGGCTTCACGCAGTGCGAGTGGCTTCGAAGTGACGCCGAGGTGCCCCAGCTCGTCGTGAACATCACCAAGAAGCTCGAGTTGGCGGCCAACCAGTGGCCGACTTGGCAACACCTGTTGGAGTCCACGGTGCAGCAGTGCAAAGACTGGCTCGTGGGCCCCACGCGCGACGCCTTGCAGAATGCATTGGGCAGCGTGCCTGCGACGGGTGAGGCTGTGCGCAAGAACGCGGTGATCTTCGGGGCAGCTCTCGTCGCCAGCCGCATGCTCACCACCGACGGCAACAAGAAGGCGATCGACGGGGCCCTGACTTATGTGAAGAACAAGCTTCTGGTGGCAGAAGCGGATCTGCCGCAGGCGCTGCTGAAGCGCCTGCGTACGGGCCTGCAGGGGAAGAAGGGCGCCGACGCAAGAAAGCTGCAGCGAGCTCGACGGTGGGCCCCCCCTCAAGAAGCTGGCCAAGGGGTCTTCGACGGACTCCTGAGGCGCACGCTGTCAGCATGCGTTCGTGGTGCTGCTGGCTGGGTGACTGACAGATGCTCGGCATGGGCGGCGGGGGTGCGCCTAGTGGACTGAGGTGCGAGCCACCTCGCTCGGTGCCATGAGTCCGCCCAAGAGCTGTTGCTGCCAGTGCCCAGGGGACGCGCGGCCAGGCGCGTGGGATGTGTGAGCACATTTGCGATACGACTTTGAACGTTGTGCAACGTTTTCTGGTGGACAGCGGGATCGCCAGTCGGCATTGTCATCACCTCTCATTCGCCCGTCCTTCTGCCTTCCGCCTCCTACCTGTACCAATCCCTTCCTCCTCCTCCTCCTCCTCCTCCTCCCCTCTTCCTGGTCTTCCTCCTCTTCCTCCTGCCCCTCCTCCTCCTCATCCCAGTCCCGCATCCTCCTCCCCCATCCCCCCTTTCCCTCCTCCTCTCCCGTTCCTTCGTCGTTCCTCGATCCTCTCGCCTTCGTCTTCCGACGAGCCGTGGGCCACAACTCCGCGTCAGTTGCCGCCCCCCGCGTATATGCGCAGCCCGAGCGCGCAACCAGATGCCTAGGATGGGGGTTCCCGCGGGGCCTTTTCGGAAATCGTTGGGCTCTCCTCTGGCTCCTGGGGGGCTCTCTGGTGTCCCCGTTATCTGGACCTCTCCGTGGTGTTCTCGGGGGGCTCTTTGGGGCCTTATGGGGGAGACCTGGTTTTATCGTTATTGGTGTGTGTCAGAGCTGCTCTGGCGCCCATCTTCATGTTCCAGGGCTTCTGTGAGCTTGTCTGCCCCTAGGTTGTTCTCGTGATTTGATTTTTGCGACGCGGCTGGCCCCTCGGAACATGTATTTGGCATTCCGTGGTCAATTACGTCAGATGCAGTACGGCCGTCGAATAACGAAGCACAGCAACGTTAGGCATCATTGTCATATCAGAAAAAAACTAAATATCACAGGGGTTTTCTGCATCATATGTAACCCGTCCAAGTGCATATTGTTGTTTCCAGCGCTCCTAACGTTCACTTTATTTGTACTAGCCAACTTACATATACAAAAGAGGAGGAGGATGAGGAGGAGGAGGAGGAGGAGGAGGAGGAGGAGGAATAAGAGGGGCGAGGACGAGAAGGAGCTAGGGTGGAGGAGGAGGAGGAGGACGAGGAGGAGAAGAATGAGGAGGAGGAGGAGGAGGAGGAGGAGGAGGAGGAGGAGGAGGGACCAGGATGGGAAGGATGAGCGAGGATGGGATGTTAGAGCGATGCGGAGGAAGAGCGAGGATGGAGAAGAAGCGAGGATGAGGAGGATGGAAGAGGAGGAGGACGACGAGGAGGGAGGAGGAGGAGGAGGAGGAGGAGGAGGAGGAGGAGGAGGATGTGGAAGAGGAATCGGAGGGAGGAGGCGGAAAGCTACCGTCTTCTCCCCTGGAGGAGGAGGAGGAGGAGGAGGAGGAAGAGGAGGATGAGGAGGAGCAAGGAGCGAGGAACGAGGAGCGAAAAGGAGAACGAGCAGGAAGGCCAGAGGCCTCCTTGTACGCCTCTCGGATGTCCCCTGAGAGCTTCTTGTTGTCCTCCTTGGGCGTCTTGGGGGCCTTTTGGCGGTCCTGGACGTCTCTTGGAACGTCTTGGGTGCCTCGGGGGAGCCTCTTGGGGCCTCTTAAGGGTTTCTTGGGAGCCTTTCAGGGGCGTCTTTGGGGCGTCTTGGGGCCCCCTGGGCGCCTCTTGGGGCACTCTTGGAAGCCTTGGGGGCCATCTTAGGGCCATCTGGGAGGCTCTCGATCACAAAAGGGGGTGTCCCTAATTAGGGCCCTCCCCAGGGGGACAAAATGGGCTTGTAACCTTTGGAGGCTCAATGATTTGTGCCTTTTCTCCGAAGCCGTCTTGGACGCTCCAATCGGTTCCTGCAGCTCCTTGGAGGGGGTGGGGGAAGGGGGCATGACACCCTCCCCGCCCGCAAGCTAACTCGCTCACTCCCACCCGCCGTCCCAACATAGAAGTGGCACCTGGACCTCAGCATGTTCAGCGGTCGTCTAAGGATGGGCAGCTACTGGGAACCAATCCGGACCCCGTGCGCACGATGGGGCGATTTGCGCCACGCGTACCAGGCGCTTCAGGTGCACTGGGCACCGCTTGGGCACAAATGTGCCAGGCACGCCTCGCGCGCCAGATTCGCCACGTGCTCCACGTGCGCCATGTGTGCCGCATGGTGTTGCCGCGCTAGGTGCGCCATTCCTGGGGCACGCGCAGAGTGTTCCAGGTGCGGCCGCGCGCGTGACAGCACACATCGGGAAACATGTCGGCCCCCATCATCCTTGTCGAAAGCCTGTGCGCACTCGCGGTGGGGTGGCCGGTGGGCCTGCGCACGCCAAGCAACATGCCAGCACCCCCGCGGTCCTTGTCAAACGCCAATGGACAGTGATCGCGGGGTGGCTGCGCATGATCCAGATTTAGCCGCGAAGTGCATGTTGCATTGCTTTTCACAGGGATGGTGGCCTTGCGCAAAGCAGGATATACGGGCACCGCTGCAGTCCCGATCAAAAAACAATAAACATTGCTTGTTGGGCACACGGGCATGACCCAAGATTTTGCCCCGAAGTATTCTGCATAGTTTTTTTGACAGGGAGGGGGGGGTGTTGGCATTGGTCCTGGTTGGCTGCCGGTTGCCTGGGGGAGGGGGTGTTTATTAACAGGGCACAGTGACCAAGTTCCCAGCGGGAGCGCCGCCAACAGTTTCGCTGACTCCCACCCGCCCTCTCATCACATCAGTAGCACCCGAGTCTCAGCATAGGCAGGGCCGCCATCGACAACCGCCGGCAACCAAAGCAGACGCCAGGCATGCGCACGACGCCCGCGAGAACAAATACACAGTGACGGCGGGTTTGCCAGAACGTGTATTATGTGCACGCGCAATCATTATGCAGGCTCCTTCGCTGCGCCTGTCAAGAGCCAATGCAAGGGGATCGCGAAGCGCCCGCGCATGATCCCGATGTTGGTGCGACGTGAATTTGGTATTGCTTTTTTTGCAAACGGGTGGTGAGGGTGGTGGCATGCCACACAGCAGGCAACTTGCCGTCCCTGGCTCAAGCGCGCCTGAAGCTGTTTCAACAGGAGCGTGAAGGACAAGAAGTTTCAGCCGATGGCGCTTCTCATCGTTGCCGCTTCGCTGCTGGCACTCGCACACGCCTTGGGCCCGCAAGCGTCTTGCACCGTAGGGCAGCAGTGCGCCGCAGGAGAGCAGGATGACACCGGCATGCTCCAGAAGAGCTCGCGGATGATGCAGGTGAATCGGCATGAGCAAATGAGCGTGAAGACGACGCCCACGAATGATGCCGAGTGCGAGGCCGTGCCGGGCATCAATACGGACGAGCCCATCGTGTACGACTCCAGCTGCCCCGGCCTGTGCTGCTTCGAGGACCAGCCGTGCAGGTACAACACCACGGGCTGCTACTCCACAGCCTTGGCGCAGGAAGGTGAGGACGACGCCCACGAACGATGCCGAGTGCGAGGCCGTGCCGGGATCAATACGGACAGCCATCGTGTACGACTCCAGCTGCCCCGGCCTGTGCTGCTGTCGAGACCAGCCGTGCAGGTACACACCACGGGCTTGCTACTCCGCAGCCTTGGCGCAGCAGAAGGTGAGGACGACGCCCACGAACGATGCCGAGTGCGAGGCCGTGCCGGGCATCAATACGGACTGCCCATCGTGTACGACTCCAGCTGCCCCGGCCTGTGCTGCTTCGAGGACCAGCCGTGCAGGTACAACACCACAGGCTGCTACTCCGCAGCCTTGGCGCAGCAGAAGGTGAGGACGACGCCCACGAACGATGCCGAGTGCGAGGCCGTGCCGGGCATCAATACGGACGAGCCCATCGTGTACGACTCCAGCTGCCCCGGCCTGTGCTGCTTCGAGGACCAGCCGTGCAGGTACAACACCACGGGCTGCTACTCCGCAGCTTGGCGCAGCAGAAGGTGGGACGACGCCCACGAACGATAGTGCTGCTCGGGAGCTTTGAGAGCCCAGGTGAGGACTCGCACGAACGATGCTTGGGGCATCAATACGGACGAGCCCATCGTGTACGACTCCAGCTGCCCCGGCCTGTGCTGCTTCGAGGACCAGCCGTGCAGGTACAACACCACGGGCTGCTACTCCGCAGCCTTGGCGCAGCAGAAGGTGAGGAAGACGCCGACGAACGACGCCGAGTGCGAGGCCGTGCCGGGCATCAATACGGACGAGCCCATCGTGTACGACTCCAGCTGCCCCGGCCTGTGCTGCTTCGAGGACCAGCCGTGCAGGTACAACACCACGGGCTGCTACTCCGCAGCCTTGGCGCAGCAGAAGGTGAGGACGACGCCCACGAACGATGCCGAGTGCGAGGCCGTTCCGGGCATCAATACGGACGAGCCCATCGTGTACGACTCCAGCTGCCCCGGCCTGTGCTGCTTCGAGGACAGCCGTGCAGGTACAACACCACGGGCTGCTACTCCGCAGCCTTGGCGCAGCAGAAGGTGAGGACGACGCCCACGAACGATGCCGAGTGCGAGGCCGTGCCGGGCATCAATACTGACGAGCCCATCGTGTACGACTCCAGCTGCCCTGGCCTGTGCTGCTTCGAGGACCAGCCGTGCAGGTACAACACCACGGGCTGCTACTCCGCAGCCTTGGCGCAGCAGAAGGTGAGGACGACGCCCACGAACGATGCCGAGTGCGAGGCCGTGCCGGGCATCAATACGGACGAGCCCATCGTGTACGACTCCAGCTGCCCCGGCCTGTGCTGCTTCGAGGACCAGCCGTGCAGGTACAACACCACGGCTGCTACTCCGCAGCCTTGGCGCAGCAGAAGGTGAGGACGACGCCCACGAACGACGCCGAGTGCGAGGCCGTGCCGGGCATCAATACGGACGAGCCCATCGTGTACGACTCCAGCTGCCCCGGCCTGTGCTGCTTCGAGGACCAGCCGTGCAGGTACAACACCACGGGCTGCTACTCCGCAGCCTTGGCGCAGCAGAAGGTGAGGACGACGCCCACGAACGATGCCGAGTGCGAGGCCGTGCCGGGCATCAATACGGACGAGCCCATCGTGTACGACTCCAGCTGCCCCGGCCTGTGCTGCTTCGAGGACCAGCCGTGCAGGTACAACACCACGGGCTGCTACTCCGCAGCCTTGGCGCAGCAGAAGGTGAGACGACGCCCACGAACGATGCCGAGTGCGAGGCCGTGCCGTGGCATCAATACGGACGAGCCCATCGTGTACGACTCCAAGCCGTGCAGGTACGGCCCCGCCCGTGCAGCAGTTGTGAGGACGACGCCCTTCCAGGCGTGCCGGGCATCATACGGACGAGCCGTGTCGACTCCAGCTGCCCCGCTTGTGCTGCTTCGAGGACCAGCCGTGCAGGTACAACACCACGGGCTGCTACTCCGCAGCCTTGGCGCAGCAGAAGGTGAGGACGACGCCCACGAACGATGCCGAGTGCGAGGCCGTGCCGGGCATCAACACGGACGAGCCCATCGTGTACGACTCTAGCTGCCCGGGCCTGTGCTGCTTCGAGGACCAGCCGTGCAGGTACAACACCACAGGCTGCTACTGAGGTCAGAGTTTCTCTGTAGCATGGTATATCAATATTTCTTGCCACACTCTAGCCGATGGCGCAGTACACTTTCGGAGAAGCATTTGGGCCGCCTGCATGACGAGGTCGTGCGCTGCCCCAGCCTTGGCATTGTCGAGTTTCAATGTTGCAGCGTCTCAACGGACTGTTCGTAATTAACATGACAATTTTGTGTGAGCATGCTCGAATGCTTGCTGCGCCCAATGTCCACGGCTCTTCAATATTTGTATGTAGCACCCCGCAATTGCGGGTAAGAGAGAGGGGGCGGGCGCGGGCGACGCGGGCGTCGAGCCCGCGGACTTCGTGGCCCTCACGAATGCAGACGAAGCCTGGAACGAATGAAAAAGAAGCCCGCCGCAGGCGCCGAACATTTTGGGTGGGTTGCGGGGTGGGTCGCGGGTGGGTCGCGTGTGTGTCGCGGTGGGTCGCGGGTGGGTCGCGGGTGGGTCGCGGGTGGGTGGGGGTCGCGGGGTGGGTCGCGGGTGGGTCTCGGGGTGGGTCGCCGGTGGGTCGCGGGTAAGTCGCCGATGCAAAAAAACCCGCCGCAGGCGCCGCAGTTTTGGTTTGTTCAGTGAACGTAGTTTGGGTCGCGGGTGGGTCGCGGGCTCTCCACCTCCACCTGGAAGGAATTCAAAATCAGCCCGCCGCAGGCGACAAAAATTTTGATTTGTACACTGAACGTGGTTTGGGTCGTGGGTGGGTCGCAGGTTCTCCACTTGGAACGACCTGGAACGAATGCAAAAGAAACCCGCCGCAGGCGCCGAACATTTTGGGTGGGTCGCGGGGTGGGTCGCGGGTGGGTCGCGTGTGTGTCGCGGTGGGTCGCGGGTGGGTTGCGGGTGGGTCGCGGGTGGGTCGCGGGGTGGGTCGCGGGGCGGGTCGCGGGTGGGACTACGACAACAAACAACAAACAACACACAACCACCAACAACAACAACACCAACAACAACAACAACAAGAATCCGCATCGCGGAATTCCACTTCAGCCACGCACCCAGGGACAGTGAATGACCGTTCGGTTCAGCTCCCTCACTCTGGTCGGATGTATCTCTTGCGTTCCGATTCCTAGACTTAAATGTCTGGGTGCACGTTGGCGGAGGGGCCGCTTCTTGTTGTGGCCATCTCCGCCCAAACGCGGCTAAACACCAAGTGTAGGGCATTCACCTCCAAATAGCAGGGAAAGCCCTCGCTGCAAGCATCGCAGATGGAGGCGGCGGCATCGGAGCAGCTCGCGTCGCTGAAGCCCTGGTGGCGTCCAACATTGACAGCAAAATCGAAGTTGGCACACCCGCTGGCATCCCGCGCGTCACTGGAGGACAAGGTGTCGTCGCCACTGAAGTCGGCGTGGACATGAGGGGTCCTCCTCCCCCTCCCCTTCCTCCTCCCTCCTCCCTCCTCCTCCACCTCCTCCTCCTCCGCCTCCTCCTCCTCATCCTTCTCCTCCTCCCCCCTCCTCCTCCCCCTCCTCCCCCTCCTCCTCCTGCTCCTCCTCCTTCTCCTCCACCTCCTCCTCCCCCTCCTTGTCCTCCTCCTCCTTCTCCTCCACCTCCTCCCTCCTCCTCCCTCCTCCTCCTCCTCCTCCTCCTCCTCCTCCTCCTCCTCCTCCTCCTCCTCCTCCTCCTCCTCCTCATGCGGCCTGATCTGCTTTTTCGCAGCCGATTCGACGACGCGGGCCCCCTCGCGTGGCGGCCCTGACCGTCCCATGGGGGAACGCCGGCCTACCATGGGCTTCTTCCGCGTCGCCGTCGCGGCCTCCGCAGGATGGGTGAGTGGCAGGCCCGACAGGAAAGCCGAGGGACCCGACGGACCACGCCCCCGTGGAGATTGGGGTCGCCATACTTGCCGTCAGGAGCTCCCTCGGCAATGCTGGCCGGGGTCGGGCGTTTTCGTGGGTGTCTGGCGATTTTCAAGCCTCGGGATGCTTGCCAGCAGCTGCGCCTGTTAGAGATGGCCCGATAGCCCCACCCCACCCAGGAACGATGCAACACATGGACCCCGCCCGTGTTTCGGTTCACGACGACGACGGCCCACTCCCTGCACTCTCCATGGACGCCGCCACGGCCTCCAAGAGCAGCCCTTCATCGTCGGGAGCCGCAGTCTGGTCCTCTTCGGTGGGCAAAGTTGGGGCAGGCTGAGAAGATGCGGCAACAGCGCTAGCGGCAGAAGAAGGGGGGGCGGAGCCGTGGCACTTCCATTCCCTGTCTTGGTATGTTGGATTGCACGAGCACCAGTAGATGGTAGCACCTCCGCATCACCACCTCTCCGTCTCTTAGCCGAAGTCCTCTTGATGAACCGAGGCTGCATCACATGCGGAGCCAAACGCGTCCTTGCATGCTTCTCTAAAAGTGCTGAGGGCATGTTGCTTTCTGTGGTGAACTGTCCGCGTTCCTGGGGGGAAATGCCAACACCCTCTTTAGAGAGCAGAGAGTCCATCCCCCATGGTAATCACCCCTACACGCGAAGTCGTTTAGTAAACGGACCCAAAGAAATAATGAAACAGGGCAGGGCTGTTTAGTAAAACGCCCAGGGCCGTTTAGTAAACGCCAAGTATCGGGTCCAGTTGTTTTTTCTCCCTTGACTCTTGGGACGACCCAACGACTCCGTAGTCGTCCATCTCGGAAAGAGCTCGTTCGGAACCGGACCCCCCCCCTTGATCGAGGGGATTTAGGGGGGGGTTCGAACCCCGCCCCCCCTCTCGTGACGGAGGAGGGAGGGGTTCAATCCCCCCCCTTATTTCTCCTCTCTCCCTCTGTTCGGGCAGGCGCTGGCGTCGACGGCGGCTGGCGGCGGCGGAGGGGAGCGTCGATGAAGACGACGACTTCCTCCTTTTGGCCGGCGCCTGCGCTTGCCGCGGCTGGCGGCGGCGGCGGGGAGCGTCGACGAGGACGACGGCGACAACGATGATGACGACGACGCTCCGCCACCGTGCCTTGGTGTTGGGTCAGAGTCCTAATGAATGCCTGTTGGGGTCTCGTCGGAGGGCTCTCGGGGGCCTCTGAAGGCCATTTCTGAAGCCTCCTGGGCGCCTCTTGGACGTCTCGTAGGGTTTCTCTGAGATGGTGGTGGTGGTGGGCTGTGGTGGTGTGGTGGGCTGTGGGTGGTGGTGGTGGTGGACGTGGTGGTGGTTGTGGTGGTGGTGGTGTGGTGGTTTGTGGTGGTGGTGGTGGTTGTAGTGGTGTTGGTGGTGGTGGGTTGTGGTGGTTGTGGTGGTGGTGGCGGTGTTTGTGGTGATGGTGGTACTGGTGTGGTGGTTTGTGGTGGTGATGGTGGTCGTGGTTGTTGTGGTGGGTTGTGGTGGGTTGTGGTGGTGGTGGTGGCGTTTTTGGTCGTGGTGGTGGTGTAGTGGTTTGTGGTGGTGGTGGTGGTTGTGGTGGTGGGTTGGGCTGGTTATGGTGGTGGTGGTAGTGGTGGTGGTGGGTGATGGTGGTGGTTTGTGTTGGTGGGTTGTGGTGGTGGTAGTGGTGGCGGTTGTGATGTGGTGGTTTGTGGTGGTGATGGTGGTGTTGGCGGTTGTGGTGGAAGTGGGTTGTTGGAAGTGGTGTTGTTGGTGGTGGTGGTGGTGTGGTGGTTTGTGGTGGTGGTGGTGGTAGGTTGGCCTGGTGGTGAGGTGGTGGTTGTGGCGGTGGTTGTGGTGTGGTAGATTGTGGTGGTGGTGGTGGTAGTTGGTTTTTGTGGTGGCGGTGGTGGTGATGGTGGCTGTGGGGGTGGTGGTTGCGTGGTGGTTTGTGGTGGTTGGTGGTGCGTTGTGGTGGTGGTGGTGGTGGTGGTGGTGGTAGTGGTGGTGGTGGTGGAAGCGTGGTGGTTTGTAGTGGTGGTGGTGGTGGGCTTGGGCTGTGATGTTGGTTGTGATGGCGCTGCTGGTGGTGGTGGTGCTGCTGGTGGCGGTGTGTGGTGGGTGGTGGTGGTGGTGGTGGTCGTGGTGGTGGTGGTGGTGATGGTGGTGGTGGTGTTTGAGGTGGTGGTGGTGGTGGTGGTGGTGTTGGCGGTTGTGGTGGAAGTGGGTTGTTGGAAGTGGTGTTGGTGGTGGCGGTGGCATGGTGGTTTGTGGTGGTGGTGGTGGTGGTGGTGGTAGGTTGGCCTGGTGGTGAGGTGGTGGTGGTGGTGGTGCTGCTGGTGGTGCTGCTGGTTGCGGTGTGTGGTGGGTGGTGGTGGTGGTGGTGATGGTGGTGTTTGAGGTGGTGGTGTGGTGGTTTGTTGTGGTGGTGGTGGGTTGTGGTGGAGGTGGTGGTGGTAGTGGAGGTTTTGGTGGTGATGGTGGTGGTGTGGTGGTTTGTGGTTGTGGCGGTGGTGGTCGTGTAGGTTGTGGTGGGTTGGTGGGTTGTGGCGGTGGTGGTGGTGGTGTTTTCGGTGGTTTGTGGAGGTGGTGGTGGTTTAGTTGTTTTGTGGTGATGGTGGTGCTTGTGGTGGTGGGGGGTTGTGCTGGTTGTGGTGGTGGTGGTAGTGGTGGTGGTGGTGGTGGGTGGTGGTGGTGATGTCTTCGGGTCTTCCCGCCTCCGTGTTTTGGCTTTGGGTCATGTGGTGGTGGTTGTGGTGGTGGGCTGTGGTGGTGGTGGTGGTTTGGTGGTGGTGGTGGTTTGGTGGTGGTTGGTGGTGGTGGTGGTTGTTGTGGTGGTGCACCCGAGTCTCAGCACCCGATTCTCAGCACCGGCTCCCTCATCACATCAGTAGCACCCGAGTGTCAGCATAGGCAGGGCCGCCATCGACAACCACCGGCAACCAAAGCAGACGCCAGGCATGCGCGCGACGCCCGCGAGAACAAATACACAGTGACGGCGGGTTTGCCAGAAAGTGTATTGTGTGTGCAAGCGCAATCATTATGCAGGCTCCTCCGCTGCGCCTGTCAAGAGCCAATGCAAGGGGATCGCGGGGCGCCCGCGCATGATCCCGATGTTGGTGCAACGTGAATTTGGTATTGTTTTTTTGCAAAAGGGTGGTGAGGGTGGTGGCATTCCACACAGCAGGCAACTTGCCGTCCCTGACTCTAGCGCGCCTGAAGCTGTTTCAACAGAAGCGTGAAGGACAAGAATTTTCAGCCGATGGCGCTTCTCATCGTTGCCACTTCGCTGCTGACACTCGTACACGCCTTGGGCCCGCAAGCGTCTTGCACCGTAGGGCAGCACTGCGCCGCAGGAGAGCAGGATGACACCGGCATGCTCCAGAAGAGCTCGCGGATGATGCAGGTGAATCGGCATGAGCAAATGAGCGTGAAGACGACGCCCACGAACGATGCCGAGTGCGAGGCCGTGCCGGGCATCAATACGGACGAGCCCATCGTGTACGATTCCAGCTGCCCCGGCCTGTGCTGCTTCGAGGACCAGCCGTGCAGGTACAACACCACGGGCTGCTACTCCGCAGCCTTGGCGCAGCAGATGGTGATGACGACGCCCACGAACGATGCCGAGTGCGAGGCCGTTCTGGGCATCAATACGGACGAGCCCATCGTGTACGATTCCAGCTGCCCCGGCCTGTGCTGCTTCGAGGACCAGCCGTGCAGGTACAACATCACGGGCTGCTACTCCGCAGCCTTGGCGCAGCAGAAGGTGAGGACGACGCCCACGACGATGCCAATGTGCGAGGCCCAGTACCGGTAACAATACGTGACGAGCCCACGTGTACGACTCCAAGTTAGGCCCCCGGTTTTGGTCTTCGATCGAGTACCAGCCCGTGCAGTACAACCAACCACGGGCTTGCTACTCCGCAGCCTGGCGCAGCAGAAGAGTGAGGACGACGCCCCACGAACGATGCACGAGAAAAAAAACATCAGTGCTCAATCGACGAGCCCATCGTTACTCTATGCTGATAAGCGAGCGCGGCCTTTGCTGCTTCGAGGACACAGCCGAAGCAGGTACAACACCACGGCAGCTACGAACTCCGCAGCCCTGGCGCAGCAGAAGGTGATGACGACGCCCACGAACGAAGCCAGTGCGAGGCCGTACCGGGTATCAATACGGACGAGCCCATCGTGTAACGACCCAGATAGCCCGGTTTTGCTGCTTCGAGACCACCTGCAGGTACACACCACAACGGGCTGCTATTTCCGCACCATGCGCAAATACGGACGAGCCCATCGTGTACGACTCCAGCTGCCCCGGTTTGTGCTGCTTCGAGGACCAGCCGTGCAGGTACAACACCACGGGCTGCTACTCCGCAGCCTTGGCGCAGCAGAAGGTGAGGACGACGCCCACGAACGATGCCGAGTGCGAGGCCGTACTGGGCATCAATACGGACGAGCCCATCGTGTACGACTCCAGCTGCCCCGGCCTGTGCTGCTTCGAGGACCAGCCGTGCAGGTACAACACCACGGGCTGCTACTCCGCAGCCTTGGCGCAGCAGAAGGTGAGGACGACGCCCACGAACGATGCCGAGTGCGAGGCCGTGCCGGGCATCAGTACGGAC